CAACGTAAAACACAAAACAACACAAATGAAGTTCCTGTTAGACTACAAAACTAGTCAGTGTGCAGGTCTTTGTGTTACAATATAAGTGTCTCTTAGTGAATGTCCTGTACTGCTCTTAAATCTCATCAGCTTTTCCTTTCCCTCTTGGATGTTCTTCTGGACCCTCAGAGAAAGAGAACATGGTGAAGCAGTCCTGTCTCTCAGGCGTGTCCTTTCCTAACAGAAATATCAAAAAACATATTATTGCAGAGCAAGTGTGTTATTTAAGAAAGAGGTGTGTTTGTTTGTTCAGGGGCTATAAATATAATGATTTTTTTTATTTGAATGTGTTTTTTAAATCCAACAGTGTATTACAAAGATAATCAGGTTATGAATAAACCGTTCTAAATTCATCAACATTGAAATAAATGTATTATTAAAATAATATTTAACTGTTATCAAAACTTAGTGCAACTGTAGAAGCTTGCTCTGTTCGGTTGTCTCACTGAAAGACAAAGGGTCGCAGCTCTCACTATGTGATGTTGCTTGGTAAAATGTAAATGTAACCTTTTGCTAAGAAAGTCCACTCAACATCACTGATGTGTAGGTGATCTAGTATTCAACCATGTTTAATGGCATGTATATCAGTGTATTAGAGTCATTACTTTATGCATTCTTTGTAAAGTATGAAAAAGGTGTACCTTGGAATCCGTGCTGAAGTTCTCTGCTGCTAGGAGTCCAGATCTGTCTCTCCTCCTCTGGTCCAGCCTGTCTGGATCACCTTGAGGACACTTTGAACAAACAGATGTAAAGTTACATGCGTGGGTTACAGACTTCTTTACATGCAAACAAATGTTTATCTTCTTTTAAAAACAGGTCATAATCTTATTGTTATACTTAAGAAATGGCTGGATATCACAGTCCTTATACTGTATCAGTTTGATTGAGTATTATTGTGTAGGTCCTTTTTATTTTACTGTTACTTTGGATGAGGTTTTCATGAGTCAGTCAAATTAATTTGTTTTCATGCCATATTCATATGTATCACACACATAGGGGTAAGACACAAACCTATTGAACAAATGCAATGCAATGGATAAGCTTAATTTCCACTGAAGTCACAGATAACGTCATATCTAATATTTAAACAAATCATTTCCTTGTCACTAAAGCATTGACTACGCTATTCATCGTCCTTAAATGCAGGAATTAAGTTACATGTTCCGTTGTACAGCCACGATAAGGCTGTTTCTCAAGTGTGATGATAATACAATTAAAAGAGGCATTGGTAATAATATTAAAAACAACAATGTTTGGGTCGTTCGTCGGATAGGCGGTTAGCTGCAATAAATAACTCCAGTTCAACAAACCATATTACAATATCTAAGGGAGCGTTATTATCTTGAAATGTGACGTTCATATTTTAAAGATACACATATTTCATTGTGAGGTTGATTTAATATACACTAAGCCTCTCTTCAACAATACGTTGACGTTAGCTAGTCTATTTTATGCTATAGTAGAGCATAGCGAATTTAAATGAACCTTAACAATGCATACAGTAACCTAAATAGCAAACTAACTATCTAACGTACAAGGATGACCTTATTTTAGCAACCTCGCACAGAAGCCTTTTGGTATATAGTAGCATCCCACTTAATGTTTTACACTCTTGGATGCTACGCATAGCATCGTTAGCACAGATGGAGCTACGATTGCTCAAATGCTAACCCAACTCTAAACATTCATTAACGTTAGCTTAATAAAAACACCAGTAACATAACATAAAGTACGCAGGGTTGACTTACCGAATAAACTGCATTCATGGACGGTCTGTTTCAACCGCAGATAAATCCTATATTTGTATGACGAATAGTCCACCAGGAACCAACACAACAAACACGGCCGAGTTCAAGTAGTGTTCTCCTCATGAGCTGAGCCGCTGTAGCATCACGGAGCTAACGGAGCTAGCAGAGAGGAGCTAGGAGCAGCAGTCCCGTTGTCATGAAGGGGGAATCTAACTATATACAGAATATGTTTTTGTAGATCCAGGCTAGAAACATGTTCATTTTCTGATGTTAAGTTGGACATTTTAACATAGGGTCTACGGGAATTGCTCCCATCTGCATCCATCGCCTACAGTTTGCAGCATTGGGCACCGCGGTGAATTTAGTTTTAGGTTGGATATTCGACGGACATTCGCGGACCCGCCAGCAGCGTCAGTTTCCCGGACCCGCCAGCAGCGTCAGTTTAACGGGGAGATCTTCTCCGCGAAACGAGGCTTTCACTTAGGGACCATCAACAAATAACTTTTACAATTAGACAAGAAAACTGTTCTTTTTAATAAATCGACAGCTTCTCGATCGTGTGAATGTGAAGCAAATTGACTCTAGAGCATACATTTATTGAATACACCTCTTTTTATTGCATTTTAATACTTTAAATATGTTTTATTAATATGTTTGATGGAAACATTTGCTTATTTCTTCAATACCTTCCAGGTCATGTGACCTAATAACTCAAAATCAATGTTGGGTCAAAGGACTACACCGGCTGCATAGGACACACCTCTTTTTATTGCATTTTAATACTTTAAATATTTTATATTAATATTTTGATGGAAAAATTAGCTTATTTCTTCAATAGCTTCCAGGTCATGTGACCGATTTACTCAAAATCAATGTTGGGTCAAAGGACTACACCGGCTGCATAGGACACACCTCTTTTTATTGCATTTTAATACTTTAAATATTTTATATTAATATTTTGATGGATAAATGTGCTTATTTCTTCAATACCTTCCAGGTCATGTGACCGATTCACTCAAAATCAATGTTGGGTCAAAGAACTACACTGGTTGAATGGGACACACCTCTTTTTATTGCATTTTAATACTTTAAATATTTTTATATTAATATTTTGATGGAAAAATTTGCTTATTTCTTCAATACCTTCCAGGTCATGTGACCTAATCAGTCAAAATCAATGTTGGGTCAAAGGACTACACCGGCTGCATAGGACAAACCTCTTTTTATTGCATTTTAATACTTTAAATATTTTTATATTAATATTTTGATGGAAAAATGTGCTTATTTCTTCAATACCTTCCAGGTCATGTGACCTAATCACTCAAAATCAATGTTGGGTCAAATAACTACACTGGCTGCATAGGACACACCTCTTTCTATTGTATTTTAACACTCTAAATATTTTTATATTAATATTTTGATGGAAAAATGAGCCTATTTCTTCAATACCTTCCAGGTCATGGGACCGATTTACTCAAAATCAATGTTGGGTCAAAGAACTACACTGGCTGCATAGGACACACCTCTTTTTATTGCATTTTAATACTTTAAATATTTTATATTAATATTTTGATGGAAAAATTTGCTTATTTCTTCAATACCTTCCAGGTCATGTGACCTAATCAGTCAAAATCAATGTTGGGTCAAAGGACTACACCGGCTGCATAGGACACACCTCTTTTTATTGCATTTTAATACTTTAAATATTTTTATATTAATATTTTGATGGAAAAATGTGCTTATTTCTTCAATACCTTCCAGGTCATGTGACCTAATCACTCAAAATCAATGTTGGGTCAAATAACTACACTGGCTGCATAGGACACACCTCTTTTTATTGTATTGTAACACTCTAAATATTTTTATATTAATATTTTGATGGAAAAATGAGCCTATTTCTTCAATACCTTCCAGGTCATGGGACCGATTTACTCAAAATCAATGTTGGGTCAAAGAACTACACTGGCTGCATAGGACACACCTCTTTTTATTGCATTTTAATACTTTAAATATTTTATATTAATATTTTGATGGAAAAATGTGCTTATTTCTTCAATACCTTCCAGGTCATGTGACCTAATCACTCAAAATCAATGTTGGGTCAAAGGACTACACCGGCTGCATAGGACACACCTCTTTTTATTGCATTTTAATACTTTAAATATTTTATATTAATATTTTGATGGATACATGTGCTTATTTCTTCAATACCTTCCAGGTCATGTGACCGATTCACTCAAAATCAATGTTGGGTCAAATAACTACACTGGCTGCATAGGACACACCTCTTTTTATTGCATTTTAATACTTTAAATATTTTTATATTAATATTTTGATGGAAAAATGTGCTTATTTCTTCAATAGCTTCCAGGTCATGTGACCTAATCACTCAAAATCAATGTTGGGTCAAAGGACTACACCGGCTGCATAGGACACACCTCTTTTTATTGCATTTTAATACTTTAAATATTTTGTATTCATATTTTGATGGAAAAATTAGCTTATTTCTTCAATACCTTCCAGGTCATGTGACCTAATCACTCAAAATCAATGTTGGGTCAAAGGACTACACCGGCTGCATAGGACACACCTCTTTTTATTGCATTTTAATACTTTAAATATTTTATATTAATATTTTGATGGATACATGTGCTTATTTCTTCAATATCTTCCAGGTCATGTGACCGATTCACTCAAAATCAATGTTGGGTCAAATAACTACACTGGCTGCATAGGACACACCTCTTTTTATTGCATTTTAATACTTTAAATATTTTTATATTAATATTTTGATGGAAAAATGTGCTTATTTCTTCAATACCTTCCAGGTCATGTGACCGATTTACTCAAAATCAATGTTGGGTCAAAGAACTACACTAGCTGCATAGGACACACCTCTTTTTATTGCATTTTAATACTTTAAATATTTTATATTAATATTTTGATGGAAAAATGTGCCTATTTCTTCAATAGCTTCCAGGTCATGTGACCTAATCACTCAAAATCAATGTTGGGTCATAGGACTACACCGGCTGCATAGGACACACCTCTTTTTATTGCATTTTAATACTTTAAATATTTTGTATTCATATTTTGATGGAAAAATTAGCTTATTTCTTCAATACCTTCCAGGTCATGTGACCTATTCACTCAAAAATCAATGTTGGGTCAAATAACTACACTGGCTGCATAGGACACACCTCTTTTTTAGAAACCAGATCACATTGTTTGATCTAAAAATGGTGCGCTTCAAAAAAGGCAAAACAAAGAAAGCTTTAGACCTCTGGCAACAAGCAGGAGGTAGAGATTTCATCACCAGGTCTTTAATTTCTCATGGTTTTAGTGAAGTTAATGTTACAACTGAACAGTGGTCCTCAGTTACACTTACAGTGTTTAAAAGTAATAAGAAAGAGCATCTTAAGTGGTTGAGGGTCATCTGGGGTGAAGACCGACGTGGAGTCCGGACTGAGGTGCTTCAAGCAGGTACTGTTAAAAAATAACTTTGATGAGCCCCAGAGCAGAGTCCTGCCTCGGATACCCGGCGGATAACCCGCAAAATAGTTGTGTAACGGGCAAAACATACATGTAGGCCTATATCCAGGGGTGCACATAACTGGTACGCAGGTACGCATGCGCGGCAACAATCTGAATTGCGTACGGTCACTTGTGTCACAAAGCGCATTTGCGTACCGACGTACTTGTGAAGCTTTTCCAGAAGGCGGTTAGATCACCGGACGACAGAGTCGGTCTCCGTGTGCACAGACAGGGCTGCTGTTAACGTCGGTCTGTACAACGGAATTGTGCCAAAACTACGCCAACCGGCTGCGGAGGGAGACTCCCCCCCTTCACTGGAGAACTGCGCTAAAACAGCTGATCACAACGTTCACGCTCTGTGGTCACGAAGTACTCCACTAGCCCCCCCCCCCCCCCCAAATTCACAACGGGTGGGGTTGTGGGTCTTATATCAACAGGTCGGGTCCAGATTTGACTTGAAGATAATTGCATGTAACGGTCGGTTCGCGGTAGCTACTGAGCTGCGAGGGTTCGGGTGGGTGCAGATTTGCAAAACTGGACCCATGCAGGACTCTGCCCCAGAGGCTTTTAAGTTGAAGCTTAACCCTTGTGAATCCCTTTTTAAAAACGTTACTTTGAAAACACTAACGACAAAAATGTCCGCATCTAAAAATACTGTAATAAAGATATTATAGGCTATGTTAATATTTTTGTTCCACTTTCAATTACTTACATATTTTTAACCAAATTCAGTGCTGATCATAATTATCAAATGTTCATTCATTTTTATTTTTGTCACTAGGGATTTGAAAGTCACTATTTTGATTACACATACACTTATTAAGAACATGTTTCCAAAAAAACACATCTTTACCAAATGTCGTGCCATATTCTTAACACAATCAGAATGCTCGCAAAATTAAACAGTGGCATGGATAATACATTTCCTTAGGGAGGCATAAGGGTTAATGTGCTTATTTAATTAAATACTGCATCACAGTAGGATGTTAACAGAATTTACTGTAATTGACCCAAGGATGGCAGATTGCTTAAAGTTGCATTGTAGTCTTACGATAAGAGATACAGTAATTAAATGAGATTTTGTACTTTTGTAATGTTTGTATTTAGGAAAATATGTCAGTGAAAGAGGGAGAGATGGACAGCACAGTATCAAGAAACAGTGTTACAGCGCACCTACGGGTGAGGAAGACAAGGACACAAGTGAGGATGACAGGGAAATAAGTAACGCACAGCCACAGTCTGAGATAGACACAGAAGAGTCAGACCAACAAAGTACAGAGACAGCCACCGAAATGACAACAACAATGAACGGAAAGGGACAAACAGGCAAGGACAAGAAAGGGCCAGAAAAGGATAAAAAACGAAAAAGGAACAAACGAAAAACAGGGACAGAGCCTGTGGGGAAAGATGAAGATAAGAATGATGAAGAAAAACAGTGTTACAGCGCACCTACGGGTGAGGAAGACGAGGACACAAGTCAGGATGACAGGGAAATAAGTAACGTACAGCCACAGTCTGAGATAGACACAGAAGAGTCAGACCAACAAAGTACATAGACAGCCACCGAAATGACAACAACAATGAACGGAAAGGGACAAACAGGCAAGGACAAGAAAGGGCCAGAAAAGGATAAAAAACGAAAAAGGAACAAACGAAAAACAGGGACAGAGCCTGTGGGGAAAGATGAAGATAAGAATGATGAAGAAAAACAGTGTTACAGCGCACCTACGGGTGAGGAAGACGAGGACACAAGTCAGGATGACAGGGAAATAAGTAACGTACAGCCACAGTCTGAGATAGACACAGAAGAGTCAGACCAACAAAGTACAGAGACAGCCACCGAAATGACAACAACAATGAACGGAAAGGGACAAACAGGCAAGGACAAGAAAGGGCCAGAAAAGGATAAAAAACGAAAAAGGAACAAACGAAAAACAGGGACAGAGCCTGTGGGGAAAGATGAAGATAAGAATGATGAAGAAAAACAGTGTTACAGCGCACCTACGGGTGAGGAAGACGAGGACACAAGTCAGGATGACAGGGAAATAAGTAACGTACAGCCACAGTCTGAGATAGACACAGAAGAGTCAGACCAACAAAGTACAGAGACAGCCACCAAAATGACAACAACAATGAACAGAAAGTGCAAAGCAGGGCCAAAAAAGTTCAAAATTGCCATGACAAGAAAACAATGGAACAAAATTAAACCTAAACATGGCAAAAAAAAACTCCGCCCCCCCTGGACTGATACATTATATCAAGAATTTTTGAAAAATAATCCATGCTGCACACTTGCTTTCAAATACCAGCATGTTAAGACAAATGATAGCCGTAAAAAGAATTCGCCATTTTTCTGTGCCTCTGCAAAATGCACATTTAATGGATGCAACGCTGTCTACAGTTTCTCAAAAAAGAACAGGCCAAAATCAACGGATAAAAAAATTATTTTTAAAGTCATGCGCATTGGTGAAGTTATACACCATAAAAATCAAAGGCGATTTAGACCAGCAAAATACACAAGAAGAGGAACAATTTCCAAAGCCTTAACCAGTGGTGTCAGCAATTATTATTACACTATGTTAAGACAGACACCAGAGGAAATAATGGCTGGTAACATAAGCAGAAGCCTCACCAAAGACGTGTTAAAGAAAATATCCTCTGAAGTGAAGAAAAGTGCAAGGCTCCACGATGACATGATGCTTGAACTCATGTTGACTAAAAAAATAATCAAAGAGAGCAGCAGTCATGCATCATCAAAAGGCTATCTTCAGCACCTACAAATTGATCCGTTTGCTGTACATTTATACACAGATGCTGGAATAAAGATATTGACTGAGCACTTGAAAAAGCCAACACCTACGACTCTCTACCTTGATGCCACAGGCAGCGTGATACAGAACATTCCTGATCAAAATAAGCGGGTCTTGTATTATGCTTTGGTTTTGCCCGGAATGGGTAAGGATAAGCCTCCCTTGCCTGTCACAGAACTGATCACCAACAGCCATTCCATTCCATCTATTTCCCATTGGCTCATGGAATTTAAAAGAAAGTTGTCTTACATAACAAAAAGAAAGATAGCACAGGTTGAGACAGATTATAGTTGGGCTCTGATAAACAGTGTGCTTCTGTCTTTTAACAGGGAAAATATGTCAGTGTACCTTGACAGAGCATTTGAGATAGTGTCTGGACAAACTGAACTGATTCCTAACTTCACTGTGCTGCATCTGTGCTCTGCTCATATCATGAAGGCTGTGTCACAAGCATTTGGGAAACAAACTGTAGACAGAGGCACACAGGAATATGCAACATTCTGTTTTGCGTACATCCTGAACTGCACAAGTATGCAGGAAGCCCTTGATGTTTTTATCATATGTGTGTGCTTTTTGATGCAGAGGAGTACACTCATTCGGTGAAACAGAGCTAAATGTACCTCGACAAGTGCATTTTGCAAACTCGGGACTTGAAACTGGAGGAAAGTGGACATGTAATGGGAGAGGAGGAAAGCAAAATGGAAACAAATGCTCATAGCATTATTGGAAAGTCCCCTTTTACACAAGCTTTTCAAGTCAGGCGGGACCAAGCAGAGTGTGACATTCTCTCTGACGATGCTGTTCATGTAAAAAACCACTACCTCTGTCCTGGTGTCATTGATGCACTGTTACAAAACTACATGGGGATCTTCTCATTGTGGAGTGGTTTGTTGCTTGGGGGTCTGTCACGACATAGAAAAGGTAGAGTCATAAAACCAGGGATACCAACTGCCATGTTGAGCTCTGGTTTGGGTTGGTCAAACACTCCATCCTTTTAAAAAAAAAGTACCTGAGACCAGCTGAGTTTGTCTCCAAAATGTATGCCTCAATACAAGGAAGATATATAGAGCACATTGAGCAACACAATCTGCCAATGCATATTCTGGACAAAAACTTTGGGCATCCTAGCAGGCCAGATGATGACCACGAGGAACAGTGGAACAAGCGGGAAAGTTCTGCTGGTCACACCAAGTCCAAGTCCAAGTACTTCAATCCACCAAAAACACTACCCAACCCCAAGAGCCCACCTGCCACAAAGGTGAAGAAAAGAAAAGTGGACCAACAGGAACAAGACGCACAGGGAAATGTGAGTTTCAAAGTGTGTCAATTGTTCTCCAGCATTTTAATTGTAACAATGGAATAAGTAAATATTGTCAGAAAGTAAAGCATGGACTAAATTGGTAAAGAGTGAGGTGAAGGACAAAGGACATGAAGTATTATAACCCAAGATGATTAGGTGCATGTTGTAGGGGGAGAATATGAAGATGAACAATGTAAATACAGCTTACAAACTTATAACAGAAACTATATTTCCAAATCAGACTTTAAACTGCAATTACAGTTTCTGTTCCTGAGCAGCCTGTTTAATGTCATTTAGTGAAAACTCTAAAAGGGACTGAGGTTAAATGCATAAACATGGACAGTTTAATTATATTTTGTGCATGTAGCTTTGATGGTGCATATACAAAAACAAGGCCTTCACCCAAACATTCAAGATTGTTAACCCTCTGGTGTCATTCAAATGCACTACCCTAATTAGTCATTCGGGACAAAAATGTCCAGAGTGATACCGGAGGGTTAAAAGATTCCTCAAGTGTCCATATTAAACAGACTGCATCTATTTCCCCTCAATCCTAACTTGCAGTTGACCTGGCTGTGGAAAAAAAAGGACACAGAGGTGGTCGTGGCAGTGCTCCCCTCACAGATGAAAGGACACATCTTGCTTATCCGCCACTGTGAGCTATGCTCACTTCGACCCCACCAGTGGTTAACAGGGGAGGTATACATGTTTCAAGTGTCTGAAGTTTCACTCTACACTGTGTTATTTTCTTTATCTAGCATTTAACGATTTCTCCCCAAAATGTCTAGATACTTTTGTCAGTCACAAGATTCTCAAAGTTGCAGGAAATGAAAGTTCAGTATAACTGGGAATATGCATTAATTGGCAAATTGTTATGATCTTTTTTGCCAGGTAATTGAAGGCGTGTTTCATGTTGCTGCCGACAAATTCGCCGTTCTGAACAAAATGTTAAATGCTAAATCACTACACAGCAGGTGTCATTTTGTTCGGGGACAGAACTCAGCTAACATCTCACAGTTTACCGAAGGTAATGTGTGTGGTCTGTGTATGTTTATGTGTGTGGTGTGTTGTGTTTGTGCATGGTGATGCTGTAGGGGGAAGTAGGTGTGGATTTGATTTGTGGGCTCACACATTAGGTACATGGAGTGAAGCATTGGCTGAGGTCTTAAATAGGAAATGAGCTGAGATTATTTTACTTTATCCTCTCTGAAACTATACTCATTAGTTAAATCACCTGATAAATCTACTTACTATTGAATTCCCATACCAACACTTGTTTTAAGAACAACAAATGAATGGCACAAGAACATCATTGTCAGACTAATGTTGTTGTTATTTTTACCTTAGCCTTCAAGTTTGTTTTAATCCTTTATTTGATGCCATTATAGGTCAACTTTGACAACTATGAAGCTGTCCTGTCCTTTGTACTTGTCAACAACAACCACTGGAAGTTGCTGGTTTGTAATTATTTTGTCATTGTATTATTTCTGTGAAAGCACAAGACTTACATAGTGAAGCCAAAAATCTTTTTTGATGAAAAGTGCTTTTACTTGTTTTGTTCTCTCACAGTACATTCATGCCAAAACCAGCACCGTATTCCTGGTGGATCCAGCTCAAAGCATCAAAGAGCTTGATGACTCCGAACATGCTGCCAAAAGAATACAGTAAATCAAAATTCAATAGATATTTGAAAATTCAAGTAAAAACTATATTTAAACGTAAAAAATGTGTCACATTTAGTTACATTGATACTCACAAACAGCATTGAAAGCATTTTAAACAGTCTGATACAGTCTGTGTTCAGACAGTGATATATATAGCTGACCTGTGGCTGCCCCTTATATAAATAAATGGTCATATGGTGAATACAAACAGTATGAATTTCTGTTACATTATCTTTAGGAGCCACATCATTAGAAATGTAAAGTGTGTTAACATGATCCTTTCTCAGGGAGTACTTCAGGATGAGGAGGACACGCCACAGCATAACAGACTGGGTGGATGTTAAGTGGAAGGGAGGCGTTATGGGCCACCCACTTCAAACGGATGGATGTAGCTGTGGTGTCGTTGTTGTGAAGGTGAGCTGAAGAGATTCTGTTTTCATCCAGTTAACAAGCAGAGTTTTTAATGTGAAAGACAGTTTAATGCAAGGGCGGATTAAAAAAGCTGTCAAAAGTAGTTGTTGACCGATAAAGGTTTTTTAAAGGCCGATGCTGATCCCCATAATATTTAGCAGGCAGGTTGGCCAATGGACAATATACAGTATATTGCCGATATCATGTTGTTGTTTATTGTATTTTTCACAACTGACAACAATTGGATTATGACACAACATTGCTGAACTTAAATTAACAGTTATTTAACACTAATGTAGTATTCACTTGAACACAGAAAGTTTAATTGACAAAACATATCTCAAAATTCCAATAATAGGACCGGTCTATATCAATACTCAAAAGCTTTGGGAGGCATTCTAGTCAAGGGTGGATGTCTTCTATAATGTGTCTCATGTTTTTGTCTGTATCTGTATTACTATACAATAAAGAAGAAAAACCCTCCATAACATAAGTGTTGTTTGTTTAGATGGCAAAGGCAGTCATGGAGTCCTTCCCTCTGATCCCGAATGTGAATTTCGAGTGTTCGAAGAAATACATGAAACGGGAGAGGAGAGAACTGGCTCTCGAAATCCTTGAGGCATCAGGTAAATAAATATGAATATATGTATATGTATATATGGGTGTCTGTATGTATATATATATGTATGTATGTATATGTATGTGTATATAGAAGCTGACATACATGTATTGTTATCTTGTTTCAGTCTTTGATGAGCACACTTATTGTGCTATGTGTGCTGCCTTAAGGCCTCCAGGATCTGGATCTCCCATCACAGACTGGGTGAGCTGTTGTGAAGAAAATGTGGAATTGTCATGTCTACATTTATGTATTCATTTATTTAACAGGGACAGTGCACATTAATTAACATTTCTGTAACTGTGCCAGAGTTAGCCAAGAGGCTATTTTTCATCTGTAGTCCCTGGACAGATTTTAAAAGTCAACCTCAAACACATAATTAATTTTAAACAACTAAATACAATACATTTAAAACATGCAACACACATTAATGGAATACTTAACTAAAAAAAATTTAAAAGATAGAAACAATGAAAAAACAAAAAAAACAAACAAACAATAGAGCATGTTAAAACACAGGCAGTGGGTTTTAAGGAGCAGATGATTGTGTCAGCTGATTCCTCACTAACACTTAAGTATTAAGACAACTGAATGGTAATCTAGGTACAAACATATAAATACACTATTTCTTTCACTTCAACAGGTTCAGTGTGATGACTGTGAACGATGGTACCATGCCCAGTGCCTGGCAATGGACAGCAGAGACATTAAAAAGGCAGAGACAGGATATTGGAATTGTCCTTTGTGCAAGTAATACTTGAAATGTGCTCAATGATGACGATTAGTAAAACATGTGTCCTGTGTAGCCTTGTTTGTATTACTTTCTGATCATTAATCACTGGGTCACATGACAGGGAAGCTCTAGAAAAAAACCCTGAATTTTTTAATAGAAATATTAATATTAAATAGAGGATGTAATATTATCCGATATAAAGAGCTGTTTCTATTGTGTACAGACTTGTATTTAATTCATAAAGTGATTTTGAGTCATTAGTTATTGAAGAAATAAGCTAATTTTCACATACAATTATTAATATAAAAAATATTTGGAGTATTAAAATACAATAAAAAGAGGTGTGTCCTATTCAGCCAGTGTAGTTCTTTGACCCAGCACTGATTTTGAGTGATTAGGTCACATGACCTGGAAGGTATTGAAGAAATAGGCTCATTTTTCCATCAAAATATGAATATAAAATATTTAGAGTGTTAAAATACAATAAAAAGAGGTGTGTCCTATGCAACCAGTGTAGTTCTTTGACCCAACATTGATTTTGAGTAAATCGGTCACATGACCTGGACGGTATTGAAGAAATAGGCTCATTTTTCCGTAAAAAGGTGTCCTATGCAACCAGTGTAGTTCTTTGACCCAACATTGATTTTGAGGTAAATCGTGTCACATGACCTGGACGGTATTGAAGAAATAGGCTCATTTTTCCATCAAAATATTAATATAAAAATATTTAGAGTGTTAAAATACAATAAAAAGAGGTGTGTCCTATGCAGCCAGTGTAGTTCTTTGACCCAACATTGATTTTGAGTGAATCGGTCACATGACCTGGAAGGTATTGAAGAAATAAGCACATTTTCCCATCAAATTATTAATATAAATATTTAAAGTATTAAAATGCAATAAAGAGAGGTGTGTTCAACAAATGCATGCTCTAGCGTGGATTTGCTTCACATTCACTCGATCGGGAAGCTGTCGATTTATTAAAAAGAAAAATGTTCTTGTGTAATTGAAAAGTCATTTGTTGATGGTCCCTAAGTGAAAGCCTCGTTTCGCGGAGAAGATCTCCCCGTCGTAATACACACAGCAGCAGGGGAAACTGACGCTGCTGGCGGGTCCGCGAATGTCCGTCGAATATCCAACCTAAAACTAAATTCACCGCGGTGCCCAATGCTGCAAACTGTAGGCGATGGATGCAGATGGGAGCAATTCCCGTAGACCCTATGTTAAAATGTCCAACTTAACATCAGAAAATGAACATGTTTCTAGCCTGGATCTACAAAAACATATTCTGTATATAGTTAGATTCCCCCTTCATGACAACGGGACTGCTGCTCCTAGCTCCTCTCTGCTAGCTCCGTTAGCTCCGTGATGCTACAGCGGCTCAGCTCATGAGGAGAACACTACTTGAACTCGGCCGTGTTTGTTGTGTTGGTTCCTGGTGGACTATTCGTCATACAAATATAGGATTTATCTGCGGTTGAAACAGACCGTCCATGAATGCAGTTTATTCGGTAAGTCAACCCTGCGTACTTTATGTTATGTTACTGGTGTTTTTATTAAGCTAACGTTAATGAATGTTTAGAGTTGGGTTAGCATTTGAGCAATCGTAGCTCCATCTGTGCTAACGATGCTATGCGTAGCATCCAAGAGTGTAAAACATTAAGTGGGATGCTACTATATACCAAAAGGCTTCTGTGCGAGGTTGCTAAAATAAGGTCATCCTTGTACGTTAGATAGTTAGTTTGCTATTTAGGTTACTGTATGCATTGTTAAGGTTCATTTAAATTCGCTATGCTCTACTATAGCATAAAATAGACTAGCTAACGTCAACGTATTGTTGAAGAGAGGCTTAGTGTATATTAAATCAACCTCACAATGAAATATGTGTATCTTTAAAATATGAACGTCACATTTCAAGATAATAACGCTCCCTTAGATATTGTAATATGGTTTGTTGAACTGGAGTTATTTATTGCAGCTAACCGCCTATCCGACGAACGACCCAAACATTGTTGTTTTTAATATTATTACCAATGCCTCTTTTAATTGTATTATCATCACACTTGAGAAACAGCCTTATCGTGGCTGTACAACGGAACATGTAACTTAATTCCTGCATTTAAGGACGATGAATAGCGTAGTCAATGCTTTAGTGACAAGGAAATGATTTGTTTAAATATTAGATATGACGTTATCTGTGACTTCAGTGGAAATTAAGCTTATCCATTGCATTGCATTTGTTCAATAGGTTTGTGTCTTACCCCTATGTGTGTGATACATATGAATATGGCATGAAAACAAATTAATTTGACTGACTCATGAAAACCTCATCCAAAGTAACAGTAAAATAAAAAGGACCTACACAATAATACTCAATCAAACTGATACAGTATAAGGACTGTGATATCCAGCCATTTCTTAAGTATAACAATAAGATTATGACCTGTTTTTAAAAGAAGATAAAAAGTTGTTTGCATGGAAAGAAGTCTGTAACCCATGCATGTAACTTTACATCTGTTTGTTCAAAGTGTCCTTAAGGTGATCCAGACAGGCTGGACCAGAGGAGGAGAGACAGATCTGGACTCCTAGCAGCAGAGAACTTCAGCACGGATTCCAAGGTACACCTTTTTCATACTTTACAAAGAATGCATAAAGTAATGACTCTAATACACTGATATACATGCCATTAAACATGGCTGAATACTAGATCCCCTGCACATCAGTGATGTTGAGTGGAATTTATTAGCAAAAGGTTACATTTACATTTTACCAAGCAACATCACATAGTGAGAGCTGCGACCCTTTGTCTTTCAGTGAGACAACCGAACAGAGCAAGCTTCCACAGTTGCACTAAGTTTTGATAACAGTTAAATATTATTTTAATAATACATTTATTTCAATGTTGATGAATTTAGAACGGTTTATTCATAACCTGATTATCTTTGTAGTACACATTCAAATAAAAATAAAATCATTATATTTATAGCCCCTGAAGAAACAAACACACCTCTTTCTTAAATAACACACTTGCTCTGCAATAATATGTTTTTTGATATTTCTGTTAGGAAAGGACACGCCTGAGAGACAGGACTGCTTCACCATGTTCTCTTTCTCTGAGGGTCCAGAAGAACATCCAAGAGGGAAAGGAGAAGCTGATGTGATGAGATTTAAGAGCAGTACAGGACATTAAGAGACAGAGAATAGTTTTGTAGTCCAACAGGAACTTCATTTGTGTTGTTTTGTGTTTTACGTTGCACCTCAGAGACAGTGTGATTATTGTCAGGCCTATAAAGTTTGGCAAAAAAAAAAAGTCAGCTGATCAAATGCATTTGCCTCACTTTATGAGCTTCACATCGCTTGTACCTTGTACCGCAGAGTTTGGAACGTCATAAATAAATGGTACCAATCTTCAGTCAGATGTGAATGTGTAATCTAACATTTTCAGCAAGAATAACGGACAAAAGGAGTGCAAATACAATTTATTGAAATGTGAACTAAAAGTTATCAAGCATGAACCATCACCATTTTTTTTTTTAAATAAAAACGAAATAATATACATAAGTTACACTAAATGTTAATCTGTTAATTGACAGGCTAGGCCTGTGCAGGTGGTAACAGCTATGCCCAGCATGGGCTAAGTTCTGTAGGTGCAGCTGGTGCAGGTCCTCCTCCATCAGGCCTGGTCCTTCTCCCTCAGGCCTGCAGGGTCTTTCCCTGCGAGGAGGACTCCTCGCAGGGAAAGACCCTCAGCCCTCTCCGGCCAAACCAACAGACAGGACGTTCATAAAGCTGAGGTTTCCCCCAAAGTCTCTAATCATCCATCCTGTGAATATGAGAGGGGAACAAAATTGTGTAATAGTCTTTGAGTTTCATGCAAAGCTATATAAAAGTTCCATGTATTATTATTATTATTATTATTATTAGATGCTTTGGACAATAATAAATATAAACTTAACTGTTGAGTTGATCAGTTTTTTAGATTGAAAGGGTTTAATAATACAAACAAAAGGAGAGGCACCGTAAAAGAAAGATTGGTTTTTCAATAAATTGTGTTGATTTTGTCTTTTGAATTCTTTGTCTAAAGTCAAGTAGCTAGAACTGTTACTTATAGTTTGAATGATAGTCTGGTTATAATGTGTGGAGGAGGCATCACAGGTAAGAGCACCATTTGTTGTGTTCCATCCACAACAGATTGATGTGTGTGTATTTATTTATTTACTACCACTTGACCTATCTAACCGAAGTGATCGTTACGTTACTTTGCAAACCGTCACCCCCCCTCACACACACAAAAGGACACGGTAACGTTGTGATTCACTTCAATTAATGATAACTACGGAGCTTGCTAACAACAAGGCTACTTCACTCATTTAGCTAGCTAATGTAAGATACAAATGCTGTCGAGCCCTCACTGCTTGTAAAATAAAGAGCACAAACTGACAACTTACCCGAGCGGCGAGCCCCGCTGTTCTCCGTCATTTTTCTCCCGGGTTGTTGTGATCACATGACTGACAAAGCCGTGCTCTGATAGGCCAAGTCAGTTTGATTGCATTAGGGCTCGATTGCTTATCCTGTCTGAGTAGCCCGGATGATGCTGCACCGCAATTTTTGACATCGAATTTTATACACCGAATTTTTTGACATCGAATTTTTTGACGTCGAATTTTTGGGATCTGAATTTGAACATTCGAATTTTTTTCACTTGAATTTTTACATTTTTATTTCACATAGGTAAATTCGGAGCAAAAACATTCAGATACATGATTTTCAAAGTAATTATTTTCAATGCTATAAATTCGGTGTCTAATACAATTCAAATACTTCTGTCTCTTGTTTGCTTCCATACTTCAGCGCACTGTCCCGGGGTTTGCCGCTTGGCTCTGATAGGCAAGAAGTCGGTTTGATTGCATTAGGGCTCGATTGCTTATCCTGTCTGAGTAGCCCGGATGATGCTGCATCGCAATTTTTGACGTCGAATTTTACACACCGAATTTTTTTACATCGAATTTTAAACACCGAAATATTTGACGTCGAATTTTTTTCACTTTAATTTTTGGGATCTGAATTTGAACATTCGAATTTTTTTAACTTGAATTTTTACATTTTTATTTCACATAGATAAATTCAGAGCAAAAAAAATTCAGATTCATGATTTTCAAAGTAATTATTTTTAATGCTATAAATTCGGTGTCTAATAAAATTGAAATACTTCTGTCTCTTGTTTGCTTCCATAAACAAGCTCATTAAAATGCCAGAACATAACTGTGAATAAAAACACAGGCAAAAATCATCACAAGGCTACAGTTAGAAACAACATTAAATAAAATATATTACGTATTTGATATTATGTATTTGATATTTAATTTGATCTGTTTTGAACCAGGTGTGGAGTACATAAACACTGAGCTAATAATAGAATGAGTAAAACAAGTTCAGTCAGGAAGCTCTAAAAACAAAAAATAAATAAAGAAGACTTCTGTCAATTCTAGAACATTTTCACATCAGACACCATATATTTTCGCTTCACCGCGTACCTGACATACCTTTTCTGTTACCTGTCCAAGTGTACGTGGTGCTTACATGGCAACACCGTCAACAGGTCTTACCCAGATGCCCCGGGGTGATAAGGGGACCTCTGTGACTAACATGACATCATGGTAACACATCAATATGTATGTGTGAGGCAAATGATATGAGTTGCTAGACATTAATCATTAAAATAACAGGTGGAATGTTGTAATGGACTGTTACTCATCAGTAGGTTAAGCTAAAGCTGTAGCAGCTCCAGCTCATTACTTATATAACTGGGAATTATGACCATGAACATTTAAAAAAGTGAAAGTTAATCCACAGAAATCTCTTTCCCGTCTTTGTCCCAAATGTCCTTAAATATCTTGTACAAAAGCGTTGGTTTGGATTCAGTATTTACCATAGACTATATTTATGACATGTTGACACTATGTCACCATATCTTCACTATGAAGTTGAGTTATTTGGACCTCTTTCTGTATCATTCTCAATGATGATCAAACTCTTTATTTCTATATCAGCTCAATGTTTGCATTTAAATATATATTTCGTAGAGTGTTAGCACACCTGTATAAAATATGCATCTGGATGAAGTCTTTGATGCTTATGCAAAGTGTAATATTCAAAGAGCAGAAAACCATTTGGTCTATTTAGAGAATTTGGAAAAGCGTTGTCTATGGTAAAATGTAGTTGTTTGAATGATTATATAAACTTGACAAAAAGACATGTTTGATACCTTTCGTTTGTAATTATAGGGCTTTCCCCCAAACATTCTGAGAACAAGTTTGCAGATGTAATGATTATAAGCTAAATCAGTCTGGAGAAATCTATTACACAACATCCCAATGTCTAGATGAATACAAAAAATAACCGTAGAAAACATTTAGTGCAGTAAAAAGGCTGGAAACAAGAACTTCTTTTCGACATTTTTTTATTTAAATTATCAATCAATAAATAGCAAATAGAATAAATAACTAAATAAGACAAGACATTGTCAGTTTCAGCTGGTTTTTCATGACAATAACCAGAATGTAAAACATAAAGTTAGAGTGCAGTAAAGTCCGTGTGTAAATCACACACATAAATTCAAGTTTTTTTAAGTTCAAGTTTGTTGTCAGGGTTCACAGTTCATTCTTTCTTCCAAGTGTTTCTTTTCCAGACTTGTGTCTTCCTCCTCTCTCAAGGGGACTGCTGGCAGGGAGAAGCCGGCGCATGGAGCTGCGTGTCGAGGTAGCTGCTCAGGATCAACTCCTGCTGTGTTTTATTTCCACACACAGGTGGTGGTTTACAGGTAACCCAGTCCAGGGAGGTTTAGTTGTCGCTGCCCAGTCTGTGGTAGACCAGCAGAGCCACCACGTAGCTCTTCCCGGCGCTCTGCTCGAACTGGCTGCTCTCCGTCTCCTGACCGGGCTTGGGACATGTGTTCGGGATGATCTGCTCGCTGAATGAGCCGTCGTCCTCACAGCTGCTCGGTGTGGATGACATGAGCTCTGAGCTGGCGCTGAACACTGTGAGCTGGGCCTGATCCTCCGCACCCTGTAAGGGGAACCCCTGGTAGTCGCTGACAGAGCTGTCCGAGCTGCCCAGCGGCGTGTCGGCGCAGGGCTCCTCGGTGTAGATCTGCCACAGCACCACAAGACACAGGATGACCAGCCAGCGCTTGACCTGGGATGTCTCCTGTGGTGGAAGGTGCATGCGGACTTTAGCGGGATACATCACCCGGGTGCAGCGCTTCTTCGGTCGGATCGGCATGCAGGAGCGCACGGCGGTGGCCTGAGTCGGTATCCGCTCGAAGGTGAATACCTCGGGCTCCGTGCTGCGGGTCGCCATCCTGGATAAGCCATATCTCTCCTGCTGTACAGTCAGGGTCATGCTGTTTGATCGTGAGTACATTTTCTTTGAGTGTTGTGTCGTTTTCTCTCTCTGTGTTACTCTCTCGGTGCTCTCAGAAAGTTGAATATGTCACACACAGCGAACAGCTCACACTTTATAGCTACATGTTCAGGTTGTGTTTTCTTTTAGAAACGCCCATAGTAAGAAGGCCACTCCCTGACGGTATTGCTCAAGTGAGAAAAAAACGAAATATTTGCATAATGTTGGAGTTTGTGACCGCAGCTGGAATGCTGTGGCACCATGCGCCGAGGAGCCGAATGAATCATCAGGGTTTGGTGAAATAATTACACCAAATCATATGGCCTCATCAGAGAGAGGCATTTCAATTGACAAAAGCGGAAAGCCTATCATATTTGAGTGATGCCTAATGTAATTCACGAATCACTGATTCTTGAGAATTTGGATAACACAGGTTTTACATTTGAAAAAAAAAGATATTTGTAAAGGCATCTAAACGTATATTTAGAACCATGTCTCAACAAATAATGAAGAGCACATTTTTCCTATTTATTAAGTCTTGTATAGACGTGGAGCTTTTACATCATTGTGTCACCATAGGTTCACATAAATGCTGTTAAATGTTGAATATTCACTTTTATTAATTGTTATATTAATTTGATTTGATTGAGTATAATTTGATAATATATCATAAAGTGCCTTAACTCTTTATTGTTGCACATGTTTGAAGCAATATAACCTACACATGATATTCGCATGATATTCAGAAGTCATTGAGTGAATCTGCTAGGTTTCAGTTGACTGTAAACACACACATTTCCTCTGCTGGTAACTTCCCCTTAAACTCCACACTAGGAGATGTTACATGACCAGTTATAAACATAACAAGATACCAGAAACAAAACCCAAACATTCCTGAATGTCTTCCTGAATAACCTTCTGTGTTATGTGCACCTGCATGGGGAAGTCAGATGTGTCGATAAAGTCTAAATATAGAGAGGATTTAAAATGTGGGGATTTTTGGAAAATCTGTCAGTCCATCAGAGATGGACTGACAGATGTCATTCTGACAAAAGACTGGTTTGCCAATTTATAAACACAATTTGTTCTGAATTATAAACATAAGAATATCGCTTCCAATCCCCCCAGCACTGTGATTCTCAAGTTTTAGAGTCTTGTGGCACGACCTCTGTGGATTTCAAGAATGTTCCAGCAAAACCAGTGAGTGTATCTTTAAATGACATCATCACATGTTGCATCCAGAAAACTGAAGAAAGTAGAAAAACATTCTCAAGATACGATGGAAAAACTGGATTTAATCAACATGAGGATTGGTTGGAACATAAAGAATCGGAAAGAATGTCACACTGAATCTAAAAATATGACATATCATGTCTGTATATTTCCTGTGACTGAGTTATGAGTTTGAGAAGGACTGTGAGTTTCTATGCAAATTGCAGAAGTTGGGAGTAAGGTTTGAAAGTTGTTTAGAGTTAGGAAATCTACCATACAATACCATATGATTTGTGGAAGCGAATTTGTTCCGTCCTGCAGCTTCAAAGAAGATAAGATTCTGTACATATATATACTGACAAGGGGGATCTAATGCACAAACCCTCATGGCCATTCTAAAGTATCACTGCTTGAGGATTACAATTACTGCCATGTAACACCTTAATGTAACAGTAACTGACGGTAGCACTATAAAAACAGAGAAAGATTTCCAAATGATAAGCAGGAATTATTTGAATCATTTCACTGACTCAGTACAGTTTGGCACATCAATGGTTTCACTATAAACTGTTCACTCTCAAACCACACTATGACTATGACTGTGACATGACAAAGTGCTGTTCTCTAGAATGTAAACTCTTTTATGATTGGGTTTTTCACAATGGAAAACATTATGAGGAAGAAAGAAAAACCGGTGTAGCAATGAACATAACCGCAACCTGCTGCTGGTATTTCCTCATTGCATACATCTTTTCTTGGCCTGGTTTAGCCGGAGGGGAATTGTTAGGGTTAATATCAACAGTTATATCAGTGAACACCTGCAGCTTGAACTCTGGATGTGCGTTATCATTTTTGAGTACAAGGCATTTCTTTAAAGCTACTCTCTGCAGATCGTTCAAATATTAAACTTATCTGAAGTGAAAACATTTTGTTTTGAAGAAATACAAATGTGTTTGTGCATTTTAAACTGTCCCAGTGCTTTCTTAATGACATGTTCTATACATAAAATATATATATATCATTTATTGGAATAATATCACTGATGCTTTAATGCAGGAGTGTCAAACTCAATTTCATCGCGGGCCACATTAGCATTATGGTTGCACTCAAAGGGCCGGTTGTAACTTTAAGATGATATAAATATATAAAATAACGTATTATATGACATTATTGCCTCTGACTTGGATTATTATCGGATAGGATAATAACTTCATAATTAACTACGTCTGAAAGCAGAAGTCTAGGGCAAATAATTGCAAGTCTCTTCAGTGCATGTCACAAAACGAGATGCATTGTGGTACATGTAGTTTATTGGCAACCTGCTTCTGTAAAGCGGCATGTAACCGTATAATAAACATATTATATTCTTTGCAAGCTCTTGCGGGGCCACATAAAATGAAGTCGTGTGCCGGATTTGGCCCCCGGGCCTTGAGTTTGACACCCCTGCTTTAATGTGTTAGCACGTTTTTGTTGCATGTTACATATATAATTTTCTTTAAATCCTTATCTGCATAGTACCAAGTATCTAAGTAAAAAGCAGTGTCAAGAACTATATTTCTCCATATAAATATAATGGATTCAAGTTTAAATAAAGGTAAATACTTAAGTAAAGTACTTCAGAATTTCTGTTACTTTTTTTGTATTTACTTTTTTATTATTTTCTACCACTGCCCTTCATATTAAAGTACAATTCCAGTATTTTAGGATCTGATGAATTCCCATTAATGTGACTTTTGTGACTATGGGTCAGGCTAACTTTAGGCGGACCAGATCAGTTGGAGAGATTTGAACGATCGTGAATTTACGCAGAACAAATAAATAAGGGTTTGTTGAGCATTTCAAATGTCTGCAGTAATGTAGAGGCCTTAATGATTCAGATTGAGACCAGGGAGTGGCCGCTTTCTCCAAAGAGACTGTTTCATATTTGTTGGACTACATGCTCCGTGTTGCAGTGTTTCCTCACTTCACTAATCACTTTCACTCCAACAAAGACTGTTAAAGAAACTTGTTGCGTTCAGATACTGCGTGTTCGAAATACCTGTAGCATTGTTCTGTTTCTTTTGTTTCGATGTGAGCTTCTGCAGAAATAATCAGAAGCATCTGAGGTTGCAGGAATAACACACACACACACACACACACACACACACACACACACACACACACACACACACACACACACACACACACACACACACACACACACACACACACACACACACACACACACACACTCACACTCACACACACACTCACACACACACACCCTTCAGTGGGAACCTTAAGTTAATATCTGGGTGGCAGGAGGAGAACGTCGCTGCAAGATGTGTCACAAAGATTTTCTCTCAGCATAGCGTGACATTCCTGACACTGTACATCATGTCTACACACACACACACACACACACACACACACACACACACACACACACACACACACACACACACACACACACACACACACACACACACACACACACACACACACACACACTCACCAATGTTGGCAGGCAGTGAGGCGAAAAGTGGACAGAAATATGAGATGACACATAAATGACTTATGATCCCAGATAGCCAATGTTCTGGAATCGGGGTTCATTTGGAATGGCAGATATACTCGTACAGTAATGCAGGTTCTGTTAATCAGTAAAACAAATCAGTATACAGTAATACATATCAATAATCAGCAAAAGGTAAGAAGCTTGTGAAGTCACAGAAAATATGAAGTGGAACAAAAATCATGACTTCTCTTGAAAAGTACATCACAGCGGATTGTGGCATGTTGGAAATGGAGCATATGACCTTAATGAAACCTGTCTCTGTCATGGTACCTTAAAATGATCTTTTAAGGACTTTAAACACTAGGAAGCTTGACTCATCACATTTTCTAAAAGAGGTTTTGCATCTGATTGCAAACGGATGCGCTCATTGGCTAAATGAGGAGTTATATATTTTGTGACATTCATGTAATATTTGTTTATAGTTGTGTGTCCTTTTTTACTTTAATTGTGGTTATTTGATGATGTGTTAAGTGAATCATAATGATAACGGGTCATGTGTTCGTCATATGTGTTGTGATGTATACAGTAGCTACACCTCAAAAACGATGTATTAACTCTGCAGTTGATTTTGTGTTGTTGTGTTTCCTGTAGACGTGGCTCGAGTGAATGCATGACATTTAGCTTTATTAGTCTAAAACATGTCCACACAAGTCTGACAGCAGAGAGTGAGAGTCTGAGTGTTTGTGCAGACAACTATGAGTGAAACCGGCCGTGTCAGATACAAAGATGTTTGTTATGGAATCAAGTTATGGAAACTCCTTTGTAAAAACATGAACGATATAGATCTTTTAAATGTTTGAACAACTCTGCTGATCTCAGACTCCTGCTTCAGTTTGCAACACTGAAAGTGTCCTGATTTATTATCCAGATTCAAATTAGCTTTAGCTGTTTTAAGCTAGCGGTTTGTTTTTAGCTTGAAACAGCTAGTTTAACAGCTTTATATTCATTTGTATTAATTGGGATCACATACAAATGTTGATTCCTGACTGCTAAACCATCCTCAACCAGAAGAAGTCAACAGCGCAAGAGAAGAGAAAAGGTTAAAGCAGAAGAAGACAGACAGGAAGTAAAGGGAACAGCAGCAGTTTTTAATGGAAAACTAAATGTGAACAGACTGTTATAGAAAACCCCGATCAATGCTGCCGTCATTTATGTAATGTTCAAATCAAATCAAGTTTTATTTATATAGCACATTTATAAACGATTTTTGGTCGAGCCCAAGTGCTGTACATAAAATAAAAATAGCCTACAGTAGAGACACTTTACAGCAAATACAACAGCACAGATTGTTCAAAATA